AGGTGGGACACGGCAGAGCTCTCCGGTCGGGAGGTGGGACTCCAGCCAGGAGGTAAAAAATCCAAAGCTGTTTAAGAGCTGATTCATATAAAATTCCTTCTATTGAATACACAGTGCAATAGCTTAATTTTGCAAGTGTGTGTATGTGTGGGAAGCTGAATAGTGACCCTCTTGCAAGCTGCACACCAGTCCTAATGCATGTACTGAATGTACATGTCACTGTCAATTTAAAAACCATATCGTTCAGTAAGACAAGTGCAAGCCTGGTTTTGCTTGGATTCTTCTCTGCTTAGAGTAGCTGCTGGCTTCTCAGTTTTTTTTTCCAGCTGAAAAGTGGTGGTGGTGGTTTCTTTCCTGTGTCAGAATGTATATACTTATCTTCCTCTGTTTGGGGAGAGGTGTCACGTGAACTCTGTGCACCTGGAGAGAGTGATGCATGCAGGCCCTCAGGACACTGCAGGGGTGGCAGTGACTCTTGAGAGCCAAGAGATCCCTGATTGACTAACCTCTCCCCCAGCAACGCTTGGCTGACTGCACCTTGCAGCTTAGGGAACCTGATCACACTCTGGGTGCCATGACCCAGACTTGAACCCGGGATCGTGCAACTCATCAGCTGAGCCACTATTTTTAATATTTACTACTTTCTGTGATCCTCCCTGAAATCACTTGTTTTGTTTTTTGTTCATTTATGTTGTCTGGTTTAATTTTTCACTAGTACTGTGCTGAAGTACTGTCAAAAGTATTGATCTAATGTGCACCTTAAGCAGGCTGAGCATATCTGCTTATCATGCTATCAAGAACTGTAACAGACAGGTCCAGACACCCACAGTTGGTCACATGGGTAGCAGACTATCCAGGAAGTGTAGGAAAGTATGCAGCTGCCTCCATCCCCTTTTTGTCTTGTGACTGTGGTTTATTATAATGTTCCACTTTTCAGTGCTTGGCTGCGTTTTGAACTATAGGTTTCACATACTGCCCTGTAAAAATAGAGTGCTAGCCTCTAAAAATAACTGCCGAATGACAAGAAACTTTAAAACGAAAACTGCATCTTTTCTGTTAGCATCTTGTAAACCAAAACATCACATCTTTAGGGAGTTTTTGTCTCTGCAAAACGTGCTCAGGTCATGTGAAACGTCTGTAAAGGCAACACATTCACCAATTTATCAGAGCTGCAGAATGGCTGATGATCGTGGAAGGTTCTTATTTTTTAAAAAGCTTAATTGGTGCTATATCCCAGTCACAACAAGATATAAATCTTAGTTATTGCAGTACCAGATCACTGTACTGTAGATAATGGTAAGCAGAAAAGGGTAGATTTGGTCAAATATCTTGAACGGGTCTATGTCTGCTTCATAAATGTACAGGTGGTGTCCTGCACAGAACTCATAACTGATAGGTTGTGGATTCAAGTCCTCACTGCTGAAATTGCTCGTGAACCTTTACAGGGATTTAGCCACAGTTTCTCCAGTCCACGCCGCTGTACGAGTGGGGAACAGGTGTCATTTCTGTCCAGGGAAAGGCCACATGATCTCCAGTCCTGCTTTCTATAGAAATAAGCAGACGAGCTCTGACCCAGTGAGCCTCTCTGCTAGTGACCTTTACCTTTAACTTGTAACATTATTGTAATCAGGTGTGTGGTGCACAGGATGACCAGAATTTAATGTACGTTTGCACCCTTTTGTTCATAGTAAAATATTCCAAAGGATATTTTAACTTCTGTCACAGACATATTGCAATATATTCCTATAGATTATTAATATAATCCGAAAAAATATTAGAAAGTGTGGTTCCTAAGCATTCTTGCACCCATCACTAAAATGAGTGTAAAATGGCTTAAATTAAACCTCACTTAAATTCCTAGACAGATTAGCTTTATTTGTTGTTTAGCAGGTTTTTTTAAATTTAATATAATTTCATATAGCTACCGTATAAAAGTGTAAACTGGAAAACTCACTGCCTTAATTTCATTAGAGTTTTCTGCCTGACATTAACTACAGTATAATGCAATTTACATGTAGTAATCCTTGGATGAAATTAGATTAAATTAAATTGGCGAGCAATTCCTAAAACCTAAGTGCTCAGCTTGAAAATGAAAAACATTTTTTCTGTTTATATTTACAGAATATAAATCATGTAATTAAGCCTTTGGCACATAGCTGTTTTCTTCTGCTTTTGGTCTTGCTTGCTTTAATTAATAGGTTTTAAGGCTTTTTAGCCTTAGAAAGAGAAACAAGATCTGCAATTGTTAACACAGTTTGAAACTTCATTGCACAGTCTTGTGTACAGAACCAGAGTAGACTGCATCTGCACATGTACCTTTTCCAATGTGCTTGTGAACATCTGACTGCGGGGGGAAATTAAATGGTTGGGCGCAAAATAAGGCCTTTTTTTTTCTTTTTTTCTGGTTTCGGTGCAACTGCAGTGAAAATTCCTTGAAGAAAGTTTGATTGGACTCCTCTTTTTGGTACGCTTCTGAAGTTACTTGATTAGAAGGGGAATAATGAACTTCAGCTTTGGCATGAATGTTTTTCAGGAGCTGGTACGTCTCCTGCAGCAAACCCTCAAGAGCTCTCAGTGTGACAGGCGGTCTGCTGGGGCTCCTGACAGCCCGCAGGACTCTGTGCAGCTGATCCAGGAGAAGGACAGGCAGATCCAGGCTCTGTGTGGCCACATGGAGAAGATGGCTCTGGAAAAGGAGAGTTTGCAGCAGGAACTGAGAACTCTGAAGAACAAGGTGGGGGAGATAAATGACCAGTTGGGCATGCTGATGGAAACCATCCAGGCCAAAGATGAGGTGATCATAAAGCTGTCCCAGCAGAGCTGTCCCGGGTGCGAGAGTGCAGGCTACCCCACCCGCGGGGCCCCCGACTGCTCGTCGCCAAATTCCTTGTGCAAGGAGCTGCAGGAGCTGGATAAACTGAAGGTAGCTTTTTGTTCAGGGTGGAGAGGCCCACACACGAACCACAGTCTCTTCACATGTATCTTTGTTGATGTGACATAGATTCTGAGGTCTGTCGTACACAAACAAATCATAAAAAAGTGAGATGTTGAAATGCGGTTGGCAGGAATAAGGACAGAAGATTCTCAGAATGAGTGTATGTCTACTGTATGTCCGTCCGCTCGTTATCGGAAAGCCACTGTTCCTGCTGAGGGCCATGGTGATCTGTAGACCAGCCCAGAAGTACAGGGCACAAGACTGCTCTCAGTCTGGACAGGATGCCTGTCCAGCACAGAGCCACAGAAAGAGAAAAGGAACAGCTCGCCTGTATGTAAAAACATGTCCAAAAACACTAACAGTGTACACTAACACTGTGTGGTTAGTCGTGGGATTGAACTGACATTAATATTAGGAGGCAGTAGGAGGGGAAAAAAAGCTTGCATGTATTGTACATATTTTTATAAACATTCTTTTCTTATTTGGCTTTTTACTTAAATATCACCTTAAACTTAAATTGAATTAAATTAAATTAAACTTTAAATTAAATTGAATGAAAGAGGAAGCAGAATTCAGCCAACAGAGCACAAAGTCTGGTTTATTTAGTTTCAGCTTGGTACCTTTTGTCACATTGTTGAAAGATTAGGGAAGTAAGTTCATTACCAGTTCTTCAAGAAACTGAAGTCAAAGGTATCCCCCCTAACCAATGTGATAATCAACACCGTGCTGCACTTGAAAAACGGGAAGCTTGTCAATCAGTAGAAAACTTTGTCATAAATTTTGGAAACTAAGAACTATTTCACATAAAATGGACAACCACTGAACACTCAATTAGAGTAGACTAATAACTAACTTTCACATTATTTTACATTAGAATGTTTCTGGAATTATTATTCAACAGTACTGTTCTTATCTTTTCAGTCTTTTACAAATGCTGGTGAGAAAATATCTTATGAGTTAATGAATATCTCCTGATTTAAAAATAAAATGTAAGAGATACAAATGTAAGTTACAGTTTTGATGATGCTTCAGGAAACAGTAACTTTAAGTTTTTGGCTATAGGGCAGAATCAATCTTACAAAAAGTCATACAGTAGGTCAGTTTGATTTTGTTATACTAAATGATACACAACAGTTCTGTAAAAGTATAATGTGCATGCACTGATTTAGACATTTTCTACCAGACATTTGCAATGTCACACCATACCATTCTAAGAGTATTGTTTTCATGAATTCATCTTCTAAATCACAGTCTGTTCTCCCAATACTAACAGGACAGTCTTCAGGGCTATAAAACACAGAACAAGTTCCTGAACAAAGAGATTCTGGAGCTTTCCGTTCTCAGGCGGAATGCTGAAACCAGAGAGAAGGCATTGGAGGCAAAGGTAATTTCATGGTGAAGTGAAAATAAGAAAAACCGGTCTGATTTTAGGAAGTGTAAACTGAACACTTTGGGAGGAGGAATTTCCTGTGTGTTTGGTTCAGCTCATTCTGCCAGTACTGAGGTGCCCTCTAGAGTTCTAGAACCTGACAGAATACAGTCAGCCTTTGCAGATTTTTCATTATTTATAGCCAGCTTCGCTGAAGTCCATATTTTTTAAAAACAACTTTGGATCATACAGTAAATGTGGCTCGCCCAGTTCCAAGGCACCTTTTGAAAAAACATATTTTTCTCAAAATTAGATTCCCGCTTAGTTAACTGCTATGTTGTAGCAAGAGCCATGGGCTGCTGCCTGCTTTAGGGGTATCGGAAAGCTTCCTGTCTGAAGTCCTGAGTCTGTTTTATTTTACCATGTGCCTCGTCATCATTTTTCAAAATTCCAAGTGGAAGCTAAAGTGGACTTTTTTAACCCTTTAGACCTAAAAAGCAGTGTGCGGATTCATGTCGGCAATTAACATTCTTCAGCATATCTATATATGGCTGTTTGATGCTCCATTCTTCAGTGAAGCTTTCGAGACTCTTTGGGATGTTTATTTAAACTCCTTTAAGAAGAGCCAGTACTTTTAACCTCAATGTAACACCTTTTGTTATTTCACTGTTGTGTCATTTCTGCCCTTCTGCCTGGTAGTACACCGCCCTGGAGGCCAAGCTGTGCCAGATTGAGAGCAAGTACCTGGTACTGCTGCAGGAGGTGAAGAACCCTGTGTGCTCGTCTGAGCAGAACCCAGCCCGAGAGGTCATCTCCAGGCTGTTGGAAGATGCTCTTCAGGTCGAGAGCCCTGAACACCAGGAGCACACCATCCTCAAACCCCACCCTGTGAGGTACTTCCTGTTGCTCCTTATTGTACTGTAATCCTTTCAGTCATAGCCCCTGTATCACAAAGCTCATTGATTTTTTTTACTTTGCCCTTTGTTGATATGGAAAAACACTATCACAATGTAAACGCAAATGCATTGTTTCTGGTTGTTGTTACAGCAGCAGATTGCTAATGGAAAACATCAGTTCTTCCAAACACGACAGCTCAGAGCTTTCACTGCAGCATATGTAGGGAAAGTGTATTAATCATTTTTGTCTTTAGGGTGTTTTATTTACTAGTGTGGTGTGTTTTCTACATATGTTAAGCTCTTGTTTTTTTATTTAACAAAAATGTTCTGTTTTTATGCTTTTTAAACATGTACTCTGAAAAAGAAAATACGTTGTCAAACATTGTTAGGGATGGAACATGTCTGTGTTTCACAAGCTGTCTCTCCTTCCTCACTTGTTCTGTTGACTCCACGCTGCTCTGTTGTGTTAGTTTTATTGTGTTGACATCACAGGAAAACATCTGCAGGCCGAGCTGCTTACGAACAGCTGTGTTCCTGTTGTCTATTAATAGCTCTCTTCCAGTTAAGTTGGGTTTTTTGAGCTCGTGGTCTGAGACTCCTCTCCCTGCTCGCCGCGCTCTCCCTGACCTGCCTGTCCCCGCTGTCTTCTCCCCCGAAACTCGCAGCGAGTACGATGTGTACGGTTTCAAGACGGTGCCCGAGGACGACGAGGAGGAGAAGCTGGTGGCCAAGGTGAGGGCTCTGGACCTGAAGTCCCTCTCCCTCACCGACCAGGAGGTCTCCGTGGGCGTGAAGTGGGAGAACTACCTCGCCAGCGTCATGAACCGGGAGATGACGCGCACGCCGGAGCTCAAGGCCCTGATCCGCAGCGGGATCCCCCACGAGCACCGCTGCAAGGTGTGGAAGTGGTGCGTCTCCTTCCACGTCAAGAAGTTCAGGGACAGCGTGTCCGCCGACTATTTCAGCCTCCTGCTGCAGAAAGCCTACGAGAAGCCCAACCCCGCGTCCAAGCAGATCGAGCTGGATCTCCTGCGGACGCTGCCCAACAACAAGCACTACGCCTCCCCGACCTCGGAGGGCATCCAGAAGCTGCGGAATGTCCTGCTGGCGTTTTCCTGGAGAAACCCGGACATCGGGTACTGCCAGGGTCTTAACAGGTACAGTGACTCGGCTCCTTTTGTTTCTGGAAGGGATCTTGGCGTGCAGCGTGCAGCGTGGAGCGTTCATGTTTGGATGCATCTTCATAAAAAGTTTCGGTGGGATGGCCAGGTTCATTTTTTTTAACTCTACAGTGTAATAATAACCCGTGGATGGCCGAATCATACAGCTTTGTTTGCTCATCTGCAGAGTACGTGGTTCCGGTACAAGGCAGTTTTGAGTCAAATGTTCAGATCACAGCATAAAATGTAATCATGTGGCTCGATTAAGAGCTTGTCACACTCAGTAATTCGTTGGGCACAGCTAAAGTTAAAAATCAGATTCCTTCACAAAACTGTTTTAGTTGCACCATTTATTCTGTGTGGTGTATGAGTGAGAGGACATAACAGAGGTCCAGTGTCCTTACACTGTGTAAAAACCTGACACGCAAAAGTGCAGAGTGAGTTTTACAGTCCGCAGGGCCAGCTCAGGCCTCCCAGTGCGGCTAAGCCACCGCAACAGTTCGGTGTCAGCTGATCGTGGGCAGCGCTGGGTGGGCAGCAGTGACTCCAGGGGCTTGCTGGGAGTCTGCAGAACTGTGGGAGTCAGGCCTTCAGCCGAGTGTTCACGTCTCAGACGCCCGTTTGAAAGGGGGCCGCTGGCCAGGGTGGCACATACTGAAAAGACGTCTGTGTGTGTCTGTGTGTGTCTGTGTGTGTCTGTGTGTGTCTGTGTGTGTCTGTGTGTGTCTGTGTGTGTCTGTGTGTGTCTGTGTCTTTTGTGCGCTCCTGACGTTTTGGAAGGGCAGAGGCAAGGGAGACATGATTCCAGGCATTTATTCTCAGGTGGGTATATAAGTGCTGCTGTGGCTGGGGTTCTCATTCTGACGTGTTGTGAGTCAGAAGTGATGTACTGTAGGTAATGCTGGGGTCTGTTGTTGATTCTGTGCAGGTTGGCAGCAATTGCTCTCCTCTATTTGGAAGAGGAGGAAGCCTTCTGGTGCCTGATCGCCATTGTGGAGGTGTTCATGCCACGAGACTACTACACCAAGACTCTGCTAGGCTCACAGGTGAGCATCCACCCTTTATATCACACGTGATGCCTCCATCGTGGCATCACTACTGAGTGGAGTTTGAGCTACAGTGAGGCATAGACGTCTCTCTTGATGGGTTCAGTTTGATGCAAATGGATAGATGCGTTTCCTTATCTTGAAATTACAGGTGGTAAAGCCATGATAGTTTTTCCACCAGTATACATAAGTAGAATGTACAGTATGCTTCAATTAGGAAGAAGCATTTAAGCCCTTTTTTGCGGCAGATTTTGTTGCCAAACAAGTGCAAAGAGCATGTTCCAGTGTTTTTAAACCAAAGGGGTATCCTAAAAAAAGTGGCTATAATTATAAAGAATCTGTTCCGTGGTAATCAAACATAAAATAATTGAATCATCCATACTATCCACTGTGTTTTAATAACAAATGTATAGTGAAGTCTCATTCTGTACAATCAGACTCTGTTCATCTTCCTTCACGCCTTAGATTGTCCTTAGATAAGCTGCACTTAAACTAGTTTCAAAGTTATTTCTAAAACATGATTGCAGCTTTTGGTACTTAAGTGAAGTAATTTTCTTGTCTTAATGTCAGTAAATTAAATCTGTTAATATAGTTTTTACGACACTTCCGATAGCAAAAACTGCACTGTTTGTGTGTATCGATTGCGTTCTCTCGAAGTTCTTTAATAGAGCTTTGAAGAGACGAAAGAGATTAAGCAAGTCAGGAACTCAGGCTTTTTCAGAGTGCAGGAACCTGTTTAGCGAAAAGATAGTTTGATCCTGGGTGGATCTGGTAGATAACCGTCCTGTCATCAAAACCCGTTCCTAGTACTGACAGTAACTCAAGAATTTTGTTAGCCTGCTGAGGAGGAGAAGTGATTTGTCAAAATTGCCATTTTCTTTCTTCCGTTGCTCCATCAGGTCGATCAGCGTGTGTTTAAGGACTTGATGAGTGAGAAGCTGCCGCGGCTTCATGCCCATTTTGAACATTACAAGGTGGATTTCTCCCTCATCACCTTCAACTGGTTCCTGGTGGTGTTCGTGGACAGTGTTGTCAGTGACATCCTCTTCAAGATTTGGGATTCCTTCCTGTATGAGGGGCCTAAGGTAAAACAATGAATACAAACTAAATGAAAAGCATGCAAAAATGTATATGAGTTTGTATATTCTCCCTGTGTTTGTGTGAGTTTCCTCTGGGTGCTCTCTCACAGCCCACAGACATGCTGGTGGGTTAATTGGCTTTTGGGAAAGTTGGCCCTGATGTCTGCCTGTCTGCCCTGCGGCGGGCTGGCTGCCCATCCCTTGCAACCCTGAATTGACAGAGGTGGTTAGAAAATGGATAGATGGGGGAAAATGCCATCTTCTGGTGGAAAAATCCTTTTGATCCAGCTTCCTTTGTAATGAAATAAAGCCCCCTTTTAAGGAAAAGTGAGAGAAAGGGATAAATATCAAAGTGAACTAATGCCAGTGATGGTCTCTTTATGACCTGAGGTTGGCAGGGTATGACGTGTGTCAAGTGCTCCGAGAAGATACTGTAGTTTCTAGGTATTAATCTCCATTATGAGAAAATCCCAGAAACGTCCGCCTCACACTCTGACGTACTGCTTTTATGTCTACTTTTCTTTTTACTCTTCAGATCATATTTCGATTTGCGTTGGCGCTCTTCAAGTACAAAGAGGAGGAGATTCTGAAGAAGCAGGATTCAATGGCCATATTTAAATATCTCCGCTCTTTCACGCGTGCCATCCTGGATGCCAGGTACGTTTATCTTGCTTTTCTTGCGTTTGGCATGAGTATGAGCTGTGCGGCCGGCCTTGAGCCGTGTAGCAGTATCGTCGCTGCGTTGAACAGCACCTGACAGCTGACTTTCTGGACATGGTGGTGGGGGGGGGGACTCTTTCAGAGCTGTTGGACACGGTGGCGTCGCTGTGAGGTGGCCCCGTGCCCAGTGTCTGGTGGAGAGAGACCTGAGCCCGTGCTGTTCTTGGTCTTGCAGGAAGCTGATGAGCATGGCATTTGTGGACATGAACCCCTTTCCGCTGAGGCAGATTCAGAACCGGCGCACCTTCCACTTGGAGAAGGTGCGACTGGAGCTGACGGAGCTGGAGGCTATCCGACAGAACTTCCTCCGGGAGAGAGAGACCAATCCCGACGGCAGGAACCTCATCAGTGACGACGAGGAGGACAATTAGTGCAGACCTATCAGCTCTCAGGCCTCCCTGGGGTCTGACCTGGGGAGTGAGGGTATGACCCAGTGTGAATACTTACTGACAAATTACCTGTTCAGGAGATCTGCAAGGAGGGTCGCGTCATCTGCGTCCGCATTGCTTGACCTGGAGGAATCATAAGTGTGAATTACGAGGACCACACATACTTCCCTTTACCAATGTTCCAAAACATCCATCATGTTGGATAGCCGTCCTTTTTTTTTTGTTTGTTTCTTGTTTTTGTTCATGGGGGGAGGGGCTGAGCTGGGACTGATAAGTTACTACAGCAGAAGTCACAGTGCTTCCTCTCTGTATAATAACGTCACAGTGCTTCCTCTTTTGCTAGTGAAGACCCTAATGCACTCCATGCCATATAGAATTTATTCAGTGAAAATTATTTCAGTACATCATATATATTCAGTAAAAATGTTAAGAGTTTAATGGTACAGTATATGCATATTTTTCTGTCCTCTGCTGTTCAAAATTTAGGAGAGTCAGTAGAGTCATTTTTAGTTCAAATGTAATAAAAGAAGGATTTAAAGGCCATGGACCAGAATAGCCATAAACATTTTATTTTATTATATTGTCACCTGGAGACAAGGATAGAGACATACAGTATAGCAGGTCTGTCCTACAGGGACTATAATGTTTAATATTAATCCCCGTGTTAGGTTCCTGTTACAGTGATAATTTTATGTCACTTTGAAATCCCTCTCCCCCACAACTCTCTCCCAGAATATTGAACCTTTCTTTTATCAGTCTTTTTTTAAGCACTTGGGACACTTTACCATTGTGATAAAGCAACGGACTGCATGGTTTCCTCAATCTACCAAAAGACTGCAGGATCAATTCCAGGCAATGTTTATTCAGTGAGGTTTTGGTTCATCCATTTCTAAACAAGAAGAGAGTTTGGACGGTGGTATGTAAAATGTGCTGTGAGTTTACAAGGCACAACAGAAACCACATGAGAGTAGCATCAAGACTTTTATAGAATCTACAGATTTGTAAAAGGATATGTCTTTCATTAGGGACTTTAGCTTTAACAGCATTTTCTGTCTTCAGAGTGAAATCTGTTAGAGGCATAGCATTGCAGGGGTATGTTTCTGTGTAAAGCTTGCTTATGACTCAAAGACTCATGATAGACTCTAGTTTCTCCCTTTCTGCAGAGAGATTTCTGAAAAAATTACAATGGGCTGCTAAAGTGTTTTTTCAATACTATAGACATCAGTAGGATTGAATGCATTCCCTGGGGTGTCACATTTATGTGAACCATTTAACATTGCTCCACAGAGTACAGCTTTGACCGGGAATTAACAGATCTTGGGACTGTAGAAGATTTCTATATTTATAGAACTGTCCTGTGAATGCTAGCTTGCACTTCCCTTTAAAAGGACTTTGGCAAAGGATTCTTGGATCTATAGGCCATTTGCAACCAAGTGGACAATCAGGACTGCCTTAGTATCCTAACTGTTATTACATCAAGACGACCTTGAGAATAACCTGGGTGGAAGAGAAATTTGAGAATGTATCAGGAGAGGTATTGAAGTCAACATGCAAGATGAATTAGAACTGAAAGGTTCATAAAGAAAATCATTTAACCATAGCACTTTCTTTCATTTTTGTTCTGAGCTTACAACATTTACTGGGTGTCCACATTCTGCGCAACAGGTTGAAATTAATTTTCTCATTTAAAAAAAAGTACAGTGTTTTTTTTTATCATTTTCACATCTGCTTAAAAAATGTTTTCTTATCTTTTTTTATGACAGAAAAACGTGGAGAATTAGACGTTTCTTATAATGGTCTTATTAAAAATAAAAATAAAAATCTAAATTTTCAGATTAGATTAATCTGTCTTTGCAACATGCTTTAATATTTTGAATACATTTTTCTGACTTAATTTCTTTCTTGAAAGGATTCAATTACAAAAAAATAGATGCTGAGTCTAAATTCTTACCCTAACAAAATACTCATTACAAATATACTGTGAAAATGTCATGAGAGCCGGCCTCTCTAGAGATTCAACTTCGGTAATATTACTGAATCATTCTGTTTCCTGCTGGAGCACTTTTACTTTCCTTTAAGATATTTTGTTTTAGCAGTTTCTAAGGTATAGAAACTGAGGAAATATTGTTTATAAGAGCTAAAATACAGCATACAATATACAGTGTAGCACTACAGAGAGCAGTGCAGTCTAAACAGAATTTAGAGTTGAGTTTGAAATTACAAATGTTTTATTTGAATCCTGTAGTCCTTAAGATGTGACTTTTTTAGACTTCAGTCCAGTTTGGTACTAGATATGTTTTATAAAAAGTGTCTTTTGGACCGCTGCTTAAAATTCAGCATCTCTAGGATCCAGAGGCTTAGTTACACAGACCCAGATTAGCAATATTCCTCTTTTTGCTTACCTGAAATACTATAAGGTAGTTTAAGATAAGTGATAAAGTAGGTTTGTGAGATCACTGGATAACATTTACTTATGATGTCAATTAAATGGCCAATTTTTGTACTTTGTACAATTAAATGAAGTCTTTATTGTCTTTGTCACCCTTCTGAAATGTTTACTTTTATTCAGAACTAATTGTATTTGGACCACACTAGCTTTAATAACCAAATATTTACATGTTCTTTTTATGCAACAGGAGTAATATACCGTTAAAGACATTTTTGGAATGTGGATAGGCACATTTCTGAATCATACCATCACATTTCATAGTATATGAATAAGCTAAAGTGGAACATTCCAGTATTTTGTTTCTGTTCGACTGATGCCTTGCACAATATTATGGCACAAATGCTGCGCTTTGTGGAATCTCAAAGTTACTGATGGGCACTTTTGTATTCTGTACTCTTTTCAAATCTTCAATGTTGTATGAAGAACCATATGGTATTAGTATTATCACATTGTAATCGTTACATTATGACGATGTTGTTTATGTACCAAGCCTTTGGCTAGTCAATAAACAGTCTGTTCTTTTTAAAAGCGTCAATGTGCTGGAAGTTCCTACTGACCTTGTATTTCTGTCCTACATACTTGTATATTTTCTATGTCCCATTCACTCATGGTGATTCACTAGCCAGATAAAGGATTGGAACACAGTGTTACAAATTGGGGGGGGTTACAAAAATGGAGAAAATCAGGACGTGACTGAGCATATTAGTCAAGAATAAAATAGTCATGAGCCCCCAATTTGAAAAGATTTCTGCCGTAAATATATCCGAGCGGTTGGTATAGTTAGAGACACGGGAATTCTTTGTTTTCTGACACAGTTTTGGTGAAAATAGTAATAATTCAGGCACACGTGGTTTAAACATATTTATAGTAACAGTGACGCACACTACACACAATATAAACATACATACTGTACAACACACAAGTTATTGTATTCACAAGTTTACAGACGAGGTGTTTCAGAGTCCTTAGTCTAGTCCACCCAGAAAGCCTCAGGCTGCTGTCAGGTATTTGACTCTTAATGCCTAAAAAGCCCAAAGGAGATAAGCGTCCTTCTAAGCTGAATAGAAAACAGGTTACAGTTAAATCTGTATCTCTAGCCCAGGTGCCACAGAATAAATGGGAGCCTATCTCCCTATTCTAAAATGTACCCACCGAGTAGGAAAGGCAATTTGAAATGGAGGGATTCTTCACTCAGGAACTCCCAACTTCCCTGAAAGCTATAGACTAGCAAGCTCTCTTGGTAAGCTTCAAATACTTCGCTCCGATCGGATTTTGGCCTGTGGATATTGGACAGAAATATGTGTTGGGTCAGTCCTCATGTTGTATCAGCAGGTCGGGTGTCATAGTGATGAAGATAATGTCAGACTTGCTAGAGCTCGGCAGGAAATGGTTGGTTCAGCAGAGACACCGAGTTGGAAAGCCTGAGGTGGGTGTCTGACATTGTCCTCCGTCAATGAAATAAAAAGGTGAAGCTCCATCCTGTTCCAGGCTAATGGCTTCTGATGTGACTTGTCTAGGTCATGGGCTATAAATGGGCTGCCTTGATGTTTTCAGAATATCTGCAAGAGGCTTTCTCTTTGTTATAATTCTCAGTATGCTCAGGTGCCCTTTTGCTATTTTTTCTGTGAACAAGTTCTTCAGATTGCAATTGTTCTTAAATCTTAAATGTTAAAAAATGAAAAAACCTCAAATATATAATAAATACAAGTAAATGTTTTAATTAAAGACAGGATTTGACAGTAATACAACCTCAGTACTGACTAGTTCAGTATGGTTATTACATTATTCACATCACTTCTGTATGAGTTATCCTGCTCATGATAAACTTGCCAAAGTCTTCCCACCCTCCTTTGCTTAACTGTGACAGAACAAGTTGCTGAGCAGTGAAATAACATTATAGTGGTGCTGAAAGAAGCTGCCAGAGATGCATTTCTCTGCCATGAAAACAGCACTCACTCATTCTGCTCCTCTGGGTTGTCATAATGCAGTGTTCATCAGTGTAGTGAGCAGCTCATGGTGAATTATCATCTAGGTTCAATGTTTCTGGTCATTGCAGTGTTTGTGAGCTTCATTTTATGTTGTCGTTTTATTAGCTTACTGCCTGGCTATCCTAGAGTTTGGTTTGCAGCCTGTCGATTTCATTTGTTATGCAGACTTTTGTTCATGTGCGTTTACAAAAAAAACATTTTGGAGTTTTGTATCACAGTATTATTACTTTTAATGTACCATTCATCATTGTGTTGCAATGAGAAGACTAGGAGTTTCTTTCAGAATGTGGAGCCTGTGGAGAATTCTGTCAGTCACACTATCTCCATTTTTATTTTAGTTCTGACCCTTCTTTTCATTATTGATGGAAGGCATGTAGAACTCTCTTCTGAGAGACACCTAAGTCCTGTTTTTCACCCACATTAAATTACCTGTCATTTTCACTCAAGCTGTCATCAATGCAGTTTGACACTGGTGCGTAATCAGGTTTTACATTGCAGTAGGAATCTTCAGATGTTTACATTGCTTTTCTGTTGAATTCTGTTGCATTCCTCTAGATGGCAGCAGTATCTTACAAGAGACAGACAAGGAGTCTCTTTGGCTCTAACTCTGGCACCAAAATGTACCTGAAGATGGTAAAACGTTTAGTCTATATTTAAATCTAGTTGTTGTAAATTAAAGTTTTTTGTCTTTCATTGAAGGTCTGCAAATTTATTAAACTAGCTAGGCTGCCCGTAGGCTATTTTGTTGATATATTTTTGCAATCTGCTCATCTAATTTGAATATGGAGGCATTCTTGTGATGAACTGAATATCATGGCGATCTCACCTCCAATAGCAGTGGACCCCTCAATGCAAAGCAAGAGAATTTGCGGAATGCAGACTGGCTGTCTCTGGTTTACCTGCGTTATTAGTACACACAGGAGGTCTCTACTCATTGTCTGATTTTTCACAGCTGTAGAAATGTGCACTGAATCACCCGAATGAAGAAAAGAGAAAAATACTTTTTTTACTTTTCGTTGCTCATACTAAACCTCTGCCGTAGCAGACCCCTAAAAATAACGACCGTGGGGTGTTCTTTCGTTTTTCCACTTCAGAAATTCCTGGGGAGGGGAGGATTCCATGTCAGGTAGTGCTGTTAGCAAAATCCATCTGCCTTCTTTTCAAAAGAAGCAGCCAGTAGAACTCAACTCAAGAGCGCTGCCTCTGCAGGCCACGTGGGAGACTTTCAACAGGAAGATGAAGCGGAGATATTCATCCTGCTTTCCAACTCCTGACACAGGACTGAGAGAACGTCTGCAGGGACAGCATAGACCCTTACTTGGCAAAGATTTTGAAACCCACCATACTGAGCTGCATTCAACCTCTAACCCTTGACTCCTAAAGAGCTAGTAAGCACCCTGCCTGCTAGATTCCTAGAATTCCTCAGTGATGCCTGAATTTGATACTAAGCATGCAAGTCTTGGCCTTTGCAATAAAACACAGGAAAGAATACAATTGAAGGCAGACGCTGAGCCCCCTTCTCAGGTCTGATGAGATCAAGATCTGGTTTTTAACTCTTCCTCTTTCAGCGCAATTTAAAAGTGATCCTGATAGAAGATTTTGTTCTACTGTTTTCCCTCTTGATTAGTAAGGCTGTTTATTATGCGAGTTGGGAATGGTTGATGGTCGTACAGGGATTCAGATGAGCAGATTGATGAGCAGATCAAGATTTTATATCAGCTGACTGGGCTGTTTCATTGATTCTTGAAAAGACTAGATGATTGTGTGGCATCCAGTGTTATAGAAAAGGTGATTGCTAGTATCTGTAGATGCGTGTTAAACAGCATGCCAATAATTTACAGTACTTAAGCTTTCTAATACTTTTACTTATCTTATTTTAATATTAAAAAATCATTTTGAGTTTTTTTAAAGCATTAAATGTTATTAATTAAATGTCACTCCCAGTAGATACTACTTGATAGGGTTATCCTTGTAGTTATAGTGGCTAGGGTACTTTATTAAATTATATTCTATCTAGCTAAAATCAGAACAGAGAGTGTTGAACATGAAGAGGCCAGCATGTACTTGCGTGATTATCTGGGAAAACCAGCTGTTTCCAATCACTGACATTTGACCTTCAGAGATTAAGCAATGTTACTTTAGAAATCAGCAATAATAAACATTTCATGGTCCGCTCTGTCCATATTTATGATAACGTACTTAGTATGTATATCCATATGCTGTATTATTACCCGATTTGTTTACTAGTTTTACAAAATACTCTTTAAGTTTTATAAAAAAAAAAATACCCAGTGCTCGTCGGGCGACTGTAACACGAACGTGACAAGTTGCCTATAATCCTAATACAGAAGAAAATTTCTCAAAACGTGTGTTTTTTACTTTAATATTTATCTTTCTGGTTGAATAAACACATTGTGTGTGTGTGTGTATATATACATGTGGCACGGAATGAATTTAGCATTCAATATTTCCTGTTTTTGTTGCCTTTGTTGGCGGTGTCGTCAAGCCCATAGACAACAGAGGGCGTCTCTCCTGCAGACTGGAGCTGACACCTTGTGGACGCTCAGCGCTCCGGGTGTGAGGAGGGCGCAGCTGGTCCGGCGACTTCTGACACTTCAGCACAGCCAGAGGACGAGGTGGAGAGACCGGCGCTGTTTGGCAAGATCTACAGTATCAACCGGTAAGCGCTATAGACAACTGCTGTACAGCCTTGAGCTCTTTACCTACACTAACACTAACGTTTTGATCATAACGGTTTACAATAATTTTAAAAAATGTCCAAATGAATTATGAAAGTAGAACCGTGTTCTTTTTTTTTTGGTTGGGGGGGGGGGGAGATTACCTCATCTTTTGAAGTGTCTGCTGTCTCAACAGGTGAGATATTCGACAGGCAAATTTCAGTGTCGACGTCACGCGTTTATTTTTCGCTCTTAATATATCGACTGTAGGCTGGGCAGTCTTCAAATGAAAACAGTCCATAACAGCCTAAGGTTGTGTCGTTCTGCTGCTGGTCATAGTTTTTGCCTTGGTAAAAAAAAAAACAGCATAAGGCAATCGGAGAGAGACGTGGTTTTCTTGAAGTTGTGAAGGAAGGTACTGAAAGTCAGCATTGTCAGTGCGAGTAGAAAGGGACTGAGCAATTTACTGGGTACTATAGCTCTCATATTAAACTTGGATATTGGCTGTTTTTTTTCGTTTAAGGCAGTGTTAATGGAGACAAAACCATATTGAGGATGCAAAAGTTAGACCACGCACATAGTACAGTACATCAACACTTTCCTAGCAAGACGGTTCTGCTAGAGCACCTTAACAGCGCTGCCCGGTGGTTAAAAGAATTTTGTGTACAGCATGGTGATGTTTTAAGGTATAGTAACAATGCATTAATTTAACTTACAAGGCGAAGCATTTTGCATTACTCTTTTTTGTAATTAAAAAACTGTCACACGACAGCAAAGTAAGAGTGGAGTACGCATACTGTACGTACAGTACTCCGTGGATACGTGGAGTGATCGCTGTGTTCAAACACTAATCGTTCAGCCTGAGGAAGTACTGCACTGCAATTCATTTTATACGAGTTGTTTTGTGAAGTTGAACTCCGTATCCTATTGGACTACAGTCCTTTTTTCGTTATTTTGTTCTCTTTGGTGAACGTGCACAAAACGAAAAATGAACGGCAACTTTTTATGTTTGGGTAGAAATAATCGTGAAATACATACCGTTAGACCTACAGTAATTCTTACCCATTCGGAATCCTAATAACTAACAGCATTTGTTGTTGTTTTTTCATTTATTTTATGATGTCGACATACAGTACATATCCGTTCTCCACATTTTCAAAATGACCTCCGGTTACAAATTCTGCATTCACTGCTACACCTTCTGTTTGCCTAATCCAGGAATGTGCGGCCACATGTTGGAACCTGTGCAAAGAAGTATTTTGCCAGAATGCTCTCCCGAGTTAAAACCGGAACCAGCTGCAGGTTCTCTTAAAAGCTGACATTGTCTCCGCAGGGTTGGACTTGTGTGTGATGGGAGAAAGATTTCTTAGCCATTCAAGATCGCAAGGTAATCAGTAGCCTTAAATGAAGACATCGGGAATGGCTGTATTCAAGCAACAAAAAGTGGAGGAGTTTTATGAAATCGGCGAAGAGCTTGGAAGGTAAGTGTAATGTATACTCGCATCTCACTAAGCTAGGGTAAAGCCATGTGATGAAGTGTACTGTATAAATATTGTTCTCCATGATGTTAGTCCAACACAGTTTATGTAGTTTGGCTAACCACATCCCTACAGAACACTGTGTTTTCTGTTTGGGGTAACTCATGCCATTGGTCTGCTAACACCTACTGACCTGCCCATTAAACTTTTCAGATGTTAGTATCCTTTTTTGGGTTCATCCCTCACATTCGGAAGACTTGATATATCTTGCGCAGCCTTTCTTTATAATTGCCAGTGTGAACAATAATCCTGTGACGATTTGCCTGGATTCCTGATTGTGCACTCATGGCTTGTCCATTCAGTCCATTCAGTTTAAACTCCTCCTGGGTCATCTAAATATTTTCAGCTGTATGGTAGCTGCAATACATGAGCTACAGTTTTAGGTTTACGGTTTGTTTTGAGTCAAAGACTGGGGATTGAGTTAGGGTTATGATGAATATTACATTTGAGGTCCAGGTTAGGATTGTGATTGACGATGTCTGAATAGATTATTAGCCACAAAACATCTTGGAGGGTTTTGAAAGCACTCCAGAAAATAAACCCTCTGGTTCTTTAGTGAAGTTTGTCATTAGGAACGTCCATTATCTCCAATTCCAGTCCTTTTCTTTTCAGAATACTGTATACTCTTTTGTTTAGTAGCTTGGCACAGTGAGTGTATTAACGGACAGTGGGCTTTTCCTTAAAATCAGCTATGGTTTGAACCTTCTGCTATTGCCGTCCTGGTTTAAATCAGTATTGGGAATGCTGAGATATGAAACTGTTATACTTACACAAAGCCGTCATTGCCATTCAGTCAGTGATTCTGTGCAGTGTTCAGCAAGAAAGACCTTAAAGATGTATTATATTCAATTTGTGTTGTATTAGATTTTGATGATTTTTATTTAATTACATTGAAAGCAATACCAATACTTTGTCAGTATGTTTGTTGAGTATAGTTTGCTGAAGTAATAGAGATTTCACTGTCCTTTCAGTGAAACAGATTACTGTACAGTACCCTGGCTTGTCCCTCTTCAGAAATATTTGTTGAGTCATTTTTTTTCTAGCAAGTCCAACTCCCCCTAAACCAGCCCCTGCAGACAGGAAAACCCATACTCTCTGAACTCCGTAATGTAAAGTATGTAAACTAGAGTTCAAGGAGAAATTTGAACTGAAGTTAAAAAAATGTTCACTCATCTCTCCAGCACATTGAACTTTGTACACTTGGTACAGAGAGAGCTCACATGCATACATATCATAATCGCAAACAGAGCTGTGGTACTGAAAGCAGTACTTCAATTTTAACACTTTTTTTTTCAATTTAACAATTACTCGTGGTCTAGGGGAATCATGTGCAATAGTGTGAAACGTAATAGTACCTCTCAGAAAACGTGCAGCTTACCTCCGGCTTCCTTTTAAGATAGCCTTTAAAAAGTGAAAATGGCAAATATTTGACACCACCTTTGTGGTGAAGTTTTACTCAGACCATGGTGTGGGGCACCACGCAGGGGGATCCCCACAGTGCAGTCACAGTGGAACCTGTTGACATGTACCGCACACTGGTAGCAGCAGCTCATTAGGACGTGCAGTGATGAACTGCTGCCTGACACAAAAAGGTTTCAGCTCCAACTGAGGGTTTTTCGTGTGTCACTGGAAAGAACTTTGTCATCTAGAGCCAATTATTCATCAAAGTGCAGTCTTAAGTTTTGCCATGTGACGTACAAAATGTACTCCTTCCACAGTGATCCCTGTGGGCAGTTTGAAGATATAGAGGGTTGGAACAGAAGGTTATTTATTATTCTGGTTTTGGAAAGAGCCTTCTTTATCAGCACTCAAAACTTCATAAGGAAATATATCTAAGAAAAGCTGAAACATTACATACAGTATGTAGTACTCAGATCACTACACACACACACTGAGCACTGCATAACAATCATACATACTGTATGTAATGAGACAGCTCCCGGTTTCTTTGTCAGGAATGAAGAATAGAATGCTTTGTCATGTATGATATATACTGCTGGAGGATAAACTTCCACATTCCCACGCCTAGTCACTATTATTAAGTTTCCATAATGGGTAATATGAAGATGTATTTTAAGTATACAGGTACAGGACTGCAAAGTTTTCTTTCTTGAACATCACCAGCTTTGATATTGCACTCATCCTGTTCTGCTCTTGCCAGATAAGAAACACAGAGTGCTACGTCTATTAAATGCAATGTTATTTGTCTATTAAACCCAGGGTGCTATGTGTCTGTTAAACCCAGGGTGCTATGTGTCTGTTAAACCCAGGGTGCTATGTGTCTGTTAAACCCAGGGTGCTATGTGTCTGTTAAACCCAGAGTGCTGTGTGTCTGTTAAATATCTGCACTCCCCATGAATCAGCAGTTCACATACAGGGACTCTTGTCAACCTCCATGTACTGTGGGCATAGTAGTGCTGTCTTTCATGGTTATGATGCCGTGAGACATTAACTACAGTGAAAATGGCAGAGTGAGTTTTCTCCGTGTACAGTATGTATGTATAATATTCTTACGGCAAACACACGGCTTGTAAGAGGAAGTAGAAAGTGATGTCATTCTCCGATATTAGTCAGAACGCTTACACAGACTGTGGCACGAAGGGAGTGAGCCTCTTTAGAAAAATGGTCGGTAACAAATTCTTTTCACTTGCTTGTCGCCTGCCCCTTTTCAACCCAAAATTGCAGAAGCAGGAATGTTTCTTTTAGGAATGCAAGGGTACTCTCTATAAGACTGAATAAAAAAGAACAAGTAATAGGTTTAATTCATGCTGGAAAGAGACGAGACAAAACACAACGTTTCAGCTGTGGAGGCTTCTTAGGGTTGAGCCTCCTTCTTCTTCACCCAAAGAAGGCTCCACAGCCGAAACGTTGTGTTTTGTCTCTTATCTTTCCAGCATAAATGAAACCTATTACTTGTTCTTTTGCAGACTACGCATGCTGACACAGCTCCCCACCTGAATAAAAAAAGAGTCCAGCACACCATGTCTCACACTGTACATCCCGTACAGATTGTGTTTGTTGCTGTTTCAAATTAGCCCGCCTGAAACGCAACACGGAAACAGAACAGTGTGTATACATCCACCCTCTGGCTCAGGCTGCTTGCTGATGCTCATTTGTGTCATATGCGCTGTCTCTCATGAAATTAAAACCGCCCTTGAAGAGTCCTTGTCACCGTCCGCAAATGGTAACATTGGACGATTTGACAGAAATGAGGAAGTAAAATACATTTGACCCAATATGAAATTCTGGAAGTCTGAATGTTTTTAAATGTAAGCCCAGTGTGCATGCCATAGCGTTTGTATTCCCTGCATGAGAATCTTCTATCTGGCTGATTTGAAAGAGTAGCAGCCTGCTGCTGACAAACATGATGAGAAATGCAGGAAGATCAAAGTCTTTGATATGGAGGAACTATCTTCTGCTAACAAACAGCAGAGCAGGTGGTTTTTAAATAAACCCTGCAACATTTTTGTTCACCTGAATGAAGTTCACATGCCCGTAGAATGAAGATGATCTGTTTGCCTTACAATCGACAGAAGTCATTTAGTGCTTAAAAAAGTAAAACAAAAGTTAAAAAATTCAACAGGTGTCAGATATCCCTGTGGTCCAGGCCTGCAACAATCTTGCTCTGGGATATTGCAGATATGTGTGATGTATTTATAGCACAGGAGTAGCGGACTGAGCACCAGAATGTAATGAGAAAAACTTGGGGGTTATTTTGCCCATTGCTGGTAACTGGATAGAAAATGGATTTTGGGTTAATTTTCTCTGCTTTATGGGCCTGGTTCTCCTTGGGTGCACTTGATCTTTACTTCCAACCCCCAAACAACACATAAAACTGTTATTATACACAGTAACTACTGTATCTCTTCTGAAAAGTATTTTTACTTTCTTTACATTTGGGAGTTGTTAGAGGGAAGCAGGGAGTGATGTTCGTGGTAGAGGTATGCAATCTGTTTGATGGATTGCACCAATTTGCCAACAGCTTTTGTGCCAATAACATTTTTATGTTCACCTTAGTAATCACAGAAATGTCATTTATTCACATTTATTCATTTATCTCATTTAGTCTGTCCTTCTAATACATACTTACAATACACCTCACACTTAGTTAAAAGTAGCTATACAATATCTCTCACTCAGGGATGGAGGACTTGAGATTAACTTCATGTTTTAACTTTATAATTCTATATAGATTAACTTTATAATTTTTCAGTGTGTTTCTAAGTGGATGTTTCATGATGCTGCAGAATGCATTAGTACAGATACCTTCCCTTATACAGGAGCAATGCTAAAAGATACTAGAGTATATTTTGTGTCTCAGGAGGCTACACGAGACTGAGATTTTTTTGAATGAGTAGTGGGTTATTATATGGAGATGCGATGATTTTATTTACATATGTGTGATCATAAATACAGTCATAATGTACAATCTCATGATCCATACAGAACCGCACTATGGTACAAGTAGTTTGATTTTTATGTTTTGGATAGGTGTTGTCCCTCTAACATGAAAGTGAGGTACTTGGTGGAAGGCACAGTATGGCATTCTAGACAAAGTGCACTTTTAAAAGTCTGCCTCATAAGCTCTGTCATTTTTAAATAAGACTTTAAAAAATCTTTAGAGTTGATTAAACCCTCATGAAGTGAAATGTGATGATTAATGTGGCTTAAACAAATAAACAAGAAATCAGAACCAGAAACCATTAACAGCCCCAGTGTTCCTGTGGAGCAGATGTTAAATAAGATACTTTCATTGAAGCTGGAAAAAAACCTGCCAGCCACCCCACCCGTAAGTGCTTCATAATGCTTGTTAAGCTACATTATAAATGGCTATACTTATGGTGCAACAGATAATTTAGCATGTGAAAATGATATCTCAAGGATAGTGTTAGATTTTGTGTTTTAAGTGCACCTATTGAATAGAAAAATATGAAGAAGGTAAC